TTATGAAAAATAATAAATAATAAATAATAATACTAATAAAATAATAGAAAAAAACAAGCCATGCTCTTAAAATAAACTACTTGATTTTTTGAAAACCCAACATAAGCTTGTTGTTCAATTTCATATTCTACCAAATGAATACAACGTGATTCATGTCCGTGAAACGTGTAAATGAACACTTTTTTTTTAATTTTACTTTTCCCTGACTTCTTTCAAAGACTTAAATTTTCCCTGAATCGAAGTGAAATTCCCTGACTTTTCCCTGACCAGAGTTTCACGACTCTGTGGCGGTTACAAGAAGGTCCATGACTCATTGCGACGGTTCTTCTACTCTCACAGTCAGTCCGTCCCAGTCCACGCTGACATCGTAAAAAATGAACTCATCCGAAGCCTGAAACCGCAAAATTATGAAGAACTTAGTTCTAAAAGTGAGACTTTGGAAAGTCATCTAAAAATAAAACTGTGGGAATCGCTTTCTTAAGGGAACAGCTTGCCCTGTGTGTGAAAAAACGAACCCTGCAACCGCTGTCAAACCAAGACAGACTTGCAAAAGCTAAGCTAAACACTCAAAAGCTAGCATTTTATCTCCACAATGATTTGCAGTGTTCAAAGTTTAATATATCATTAATGCCATGTAAATTTACTCAATTCTTTATAGGTTACTACAAAGAGTTTCATGTTTGAAACGGAAACGAAACGATTGTCTGGACTCCGCATATGAAAGGGGTGGGAATGCTCGTCGGAAATTTTGAATTAAACCCTAAAGGAGACCCACCTGGGCGGGGCCCAAGCTTTTTTTGACCCCTAAAAGAGACCATGTTAAAACACAGACATATTTTTCGCATGCAACCCTAAACGAGACCTTCACGGCTAAATATGATGGCGTTTTGCCCAGAACACCCTAAGTCAGACCAAAATCCGAAATTTATACCCCTAAGCGAGACCAAGAGCATCCACAGCCCTTTCATATGGGGATTCCGCCCCCCCCCCCCCCCCCCGGGGTCCCCCCCCCCCTTTCGCCCCCCCTTCCCACACCAATGGTGGCCGCAAATTTTTTTTTGGGTGTAAAAACGCCCACTACCCCTTTTCACCCTCTTCTCGGCGAGTGTCAAAAAAAAAACGCCCTCTTTTTTGTCCCCCTTTCTGACCCCACTTAATTGTTCTGTCCATATCACAACAAGCGCTAAAAAGACCAGTTTAAACACACAACAATTTTTTGCCCTGCACCCCCAAAGGGACCCTCACAGGCAAAAAATATGGGGGTTTTCCCCAAACACCCCCAGAGCGACCAAAAACCCCAAATTTTAACCCCCAACGGGGCCCAAAGGATCCCCACCCCCTTTTTATAGGGGGTTCCCCCCCCCCCCCCCCCGGGGTTTCACCACCCATGTTCGAACCTGTCTTGCAACAAATATGGTTGCAAGCAATTTTTTCGTGGTGATAAACCGCGCAACATCGCTATTCAACTCGTTTGCAGGAACGTTGCAAAACAAGTTGCACGTTCTTTGTTGCCCGTTTCAATGCACCTTAAGTGAATTTGACACTAATCCAAGATGGCCGACCGTAACGCAATTTTGATCTCGACGATCTTATGGAAAAATAGAGGACTGTAAACAGTTTAGCCTAGGTGAAGAGCCTCAACCACATACTCCATCACCTATTACCCCGGCAAAATCTAGCCGCGTTGCTTTTGTTGTCGTTGTTTCACAGTGTCTCTGGTTATAAAACTTAACTCTATCATCACCTGAATTATAGTTTTCGGGAAACTTTGACAAAGGCTTTTGTTTTAGTTAGTGATTAACACGCTGAATGTTGTCAGCAATAGAAAAACACTGCTGTTTGATGTTAGCAATTTCCCCTTTTGTTGATTATTTTTTGCTTGTATCGATGGAATGTGACATTCAGGCGCTAGTACCTTTTTCTCCTCGATCACAGCTCGTATTTTATCAGCCATGTTAGGTTCTTTAGTAATAAGAACCAGAAAGCCTCCCCCTCCAGCTCCGGTCAAGGTTTGTCCTGAAACAATTACAAAGCTATTGTCAGAAAAACCACCAGGGGGCGGTATTCCGGATTTCAAGTGACGGGAATCATCGAACGAATTTTTCTGGGTTGGAAATCTTCGATTCCGGGACTTTTTTTGGGGGGGGAGGGGGGGGGTAGAAAAATTTAGGAAGTATGTTTTGGGGGTGGTTTGTTTTAAAGAGGGATTTTTTGGGTAATTTTAAACAATCTGGGGATTTGTTGTATTTGCGGCGTATTCAGGCTGCGGAGTTGGGAAAGGTTTGTGCAGAAAATAATAAATGGTTGTTACGAGAAAGACCCCGGGGGGGCGTTATTCGGGTTTGAGAGGGGCGGGATTGTTGGAACGATTTTTGGTGGGTTGGAAGTGTTCGGTTCGGGGTGTTTTTGGGGGGGGGGGGGGGGGGGGTAGAAAAATTTAGCAAGTATTTTTTGGGGGTGGTTTGATTTAAAGAGGGATTTTTTGGGTAATTTAAAACAATCTGCGGATATGTTGTAGTGCCCGCGTATCCCGGCTGCGTAGTTCTATAAGGGATTTATTGGGGGGTTAATTTTTGTTCCAGGGAAATTTGGGGTTTTCGTTGGAAGCCCTACGAATGTTTTCGCGTTTTGATTCTTGCCCCCATTATATCATCCCAGTCACTTGAAATCACGAGTACACCACTGGGTTCAGGGCGTTGTCTCTTAATGAAAAAAAAAAGTCGAAAACTAGCCTGGTAAACAGGGTAAAAAAACAAACAACGTCTCACCTAATACGAAAGGGTCCAGCGCCTCCATCATATCTCGTATTGCATCAGGTTCGGTTCCTGTGGGAAATGTGTGTATTACTAAAAGCTTCAGTTTTTACAGAGGCAGTATCCTAGGTTTTTTGTAAATTAAGCCCGAATTATGAGAGTACACCTGTTTGTGTCAAAAAATTCCCCCCAAATTGCAATAGGAAGACAAGAACAAGCCATTTGCAGCTTGCAACCCCCCACCCCCCCGCCACTTCGACCTTCCTAAGCCTTCGGGAGACAAGCAATGGCCATTTCCGAGTTCGTTAAACTCTTACTATGAAAACGAGTATTATTTGCATGAGAATAAAAACTCAATTTTATATCAATGGCTTCGCAATTAGGGCCTGTTTACATGGAGGTGAGGGAGCCCTAGATGGGTGAGGTAACTTGTGGCGGGTCACCCCACCTACGCAGGTCACCACACCCAATTGGGTCCCCCACCTCCATGTATACAGGCACTAAGACTCATTTCAAAGCAGAGGCTTTGGGTTACTCGGAAATTGCTTATACTAGGCAAACGACAAATGTCCATTGTAATACGCGACCAACATTTCCCTTTGTTTATCTCTTGCTGTTCATTACACCTACACCAACTTAGTAGTTTCAAGCCAGTTTCCTCCATTAGAAATATTTTGGACAGTTTTTCATTTCCTAATTTTTGATATTGTCAACTTGAGTCTCACCTGATTCTAAACCCTTCTAATGATGGAAAGGGAATGAATAGTTATTGAAAGCTACTCACCGGGAGCCATTATACACTTCTGCTTACGGTAACAATTCATACAGGCGCCTAACTTCTCAACAATTCCTGAAAAATTAAAAACGATGAATAAGAGTGTGTTCAATTGGGAAATCCGGATCCGGATTTGCAATAAAACGCGAGAACTAAAAACAGATTCTAACGCCGATTCTGTCGCTGCAACACGTCGAGGCGACCAATTACTCCTTGTGTACAGGTCGGGCGATAAGTTGTTGCAACCAGTTGCACGACACGTTGCAGGGACAGATCGCGTCGTGTGTAGTGGAGAATTTGTGGGAAATCTTTGTCTCAGCAACAGAATTTTGTCAACGCAAAACGTTGCACAAATTCAGCCTGATTTGATTTTGTGCGACTTGTTACGGCGACAAAATTCTGTTGCGGAGACAAAGATTTCCAGAAAAGTTCTCCACTACAGAGATTTGTCGCTGCGATTTGTCGACGCAACGTGTTGCTGTAAATACGCCTTTTGCATGATGGCGTCATTTTACTACTACGACCAGAATCCTCTTCGTTTTTCCTTTCACATTCTAATTTGGTATTCCCAGTGAGGTTTCGAAACCAAAAGCCCTAATTTGCACAAGAAAGCAAAATCCTGAAGGAGTCTGGTCGTAGTAGTAAAATGACGTCATCGTGCAAATGGGCTATTGTTGCCTAGTGTGTACCGACCTTAAGATGTGACAAGATGTCAAGCAACGCTGGTATAATCGGGCCAATATTGCAGTTCGAGAACTAAAGGCGCCATGTAAACGGACGCAACAACTCCCAACATTGTTGGGCCAACAATGTTGGAAGTTGTTGCGTCCGTGTTGGCAGTGGTGTGCAAATGGACGCAACAGCTCCCCATAATGTTGGAATCTGCAGTGCATCGTGGGAAGGATACAACCCGTAAGACTTTGTAAACCATGTGAAATGCGCTTTCGTGGCCCCAACAATGTTGGAAAGAGCTGTGCAAACCGATCCAACATCGTAGAGCTACGCGATCACGGAACAAAAGAAACATTGGGAGTTGTTTGCTCAAAAGTTTGACTGGTTTCAAACTTTGCGCCAAAACTCCTAACAACACGCAACAGGTTGTGCAAACGGACGAAACATGTAACATCCAGCAATGTTGGGAGTTGTTGGTCAACATTGTTGAGTCCGTTTTCACGGGGCTTAAAATTTATCCTCATTTTACCTGTCTTAAGTGCTTCCACGGCTTCCTCTGCGTTTGTTATCAGGTTGTCAGCGTTTTCAGTGATGTGTGGAAACCTTGCGTACCAGTTCCTGACCACATCCTAAAAAACGCGAAATCATTAGGGTTTACAGTGAATTCACCGATATTAACAACTCCTTTAACAACTCTTTTAATCTGTCAAATGTTAGCGATTTTTCAGGAGCTGAATTCTAAAGGACTGAATCTAAGTTTACAAAAACAAAAAACCAAACATTATGTCAGGGCATAATATTATTTATGTCGATACAATATGCCTTTGTGGTCTACATGGTTGGTCTTCCGACTCCCATCAGTCTAACCTCTCTTTCAAGAGCCAATCATTTCTATCGCCCTGAGGGAGTGTTCGTATAAAGGAGCATGCATTCCCGCGTTCGTCCCCTCTTGTTTTCACCATCACGGCGATTACATCTCTGCGAAAAATCCCCCCCCCCCCATCCTACTTTGCCATGAGTCGGGAGATCTTCTATGCGTTTATCAGTTAGTTCATTCATTGGGCGAATTTCTTGCCCCACCTTTGCTGAAAATAACATAGATTATTTAGTATTATTGTTGTGAACTAATGCGTCTGTTTTATAATCAATTTAACTGCCACTCAGACAAGTGGCCAAATAATGCCAACACTCGAGTGGCTTCTCTGTCTGTGGTACTGTAGCGGAACAATAGCGTGAGTTCAATGAGAGCTCCTGAACTAACTTTTAGGGTATCGGCATAAAGAATATCGTTGTTTTGTGTTCACGTCCTCCATAAAAGGTGGAATTAGGGAGTTTCACGTCGTAGTCGAGCAGTGACGGCAAAGTAAAATATACAGAGAAGCCAATCTCAACTTATTGCTTTTTTGCCGTTCTCGTTGAAGCTGTCGTTGTCGTTGCGTAACCTCCGTAATTGTTACGATTAAACATCGCCAACGATTACTATTCATGTACACATTCTTAGGCCACCTAAACACGAATCCGGATATTCTGAAACCGAATACTTGATATTTGCGTCTACTCGAATTCGGTGTGGTGTATCCAATTTGGATTCACCTCCCCCCCTCCCCTCCCCCGCTGTTTCAGTCGTCCACACGAATTCACCAAACCCGTCGGATACAAAAAAAATCTATTCTGGAGAGCGGTGTCAAAAATATGCAGTTTCGGTTTGCGGATTCACTGATTTTGTGTGGACGGAAGGTTGACGTATTCCCATAAAAGATCGAGTATGCGGTTTCAAAAATATCCGGAATCGTATGCAAAGGGCCTTTTATTGTCATGTATTATGAAGGTGTTTTGGAAGAAAATCTGAAAGGTTAAAATGTCCTCATCACTTGATGCAAGATCTTGTTCTTGCCGCTGCGCTCAGAACTCCCCTCTAACGATTTGGATGAGCCGAAAGCTCTAAGAACGGCTCACAGGATTGGTTTAGAAAACAATAGATAGCCTTAACTCAAACAAAATTAACAATGAACCCCAACTCTGAAACAATAGAGCTTCGGGCCAACAAGAACCTATCAAATTAGAGGTTCTAAAGAGGTTCTGGCCAATAGAACGATTTGCCCAATATACATTCATTGCTTTCAAGAGGCATGTACAGTCAAACCGAGAAAACCGTGAACACCAGAAATATTCCTGGAATGTTATTGTGTTGCACGAAAAAAGCCAATCAGGCGTGAGAAAACTAAGGCGCAAGAAAGAGCGTTAATTAGTTTGTGGTTTGGTGGCTAGTTCCCATGTTCTGATCTTTGCTGTGATTGGTTATAACACAACAATAAACATTCCTGAAATATTTCAAGTGTTCACGGTTTTCCCAGTCATACTGTAAAGGCTTTTCAGGGAAACGCTTTCAATGTAACTTGTTTAAGTTAAGGTTGTTTTGTGGGCTACAAATCGTACCACCAAAATAGAGAAAAGCGCGACGTCACGTTACCATGGTAGCTCTATTTCTGGATGACAACAAAACCAACGACGACGGCGACGGCAAGGAGAACGGCAAAAAATATATGTTTATATTAGCAAGCAACAACTTTGCACGTGCATCACGCTATTTTGTAAATTTCTTTGCAGTCGTTGCACCACTACGACACTGGAAACTTCCTAATTTCACGAACCCGCTCTATGGAGTAGGTGAACAAAACACAAAAGTTGTCGCTTTCTTGTTTTAAACTTAGATAACGATAGACACGGTCCCCTAAGAAAATTTTACCAAATTAAATGAAGTTGAATAAGATCGGTGAAGTTTGAAATAGTGCGAATAGACTTTTAAGTGACTTTATCGGTTTGTTGTCATCCAAATAATTTTACTACCACGGCAACGTGACGTAACGACTTCTCTTCTCTATTTTGTCACATTCATTCATATTAATAATATAGCATAAAAATCAACTTTGTAATGTGTCCATTATTAAAGCTATAAAAGGCCAACAAGGACAACGAGGGCTGAATAATCTTTAAGGGACTTCTTAATTTATTGACTAACACTCGTTTGTTTTGGACTTGGGTTTAGGATTTTTCTTGAGATGAGTCCCAGGACTCACCGTAGCCAATGGCCGGTGAGTCCTGGGGATGATAGCAGTTGGTAACAATTAACCTTGCAATAGACTAATAGCACAAAGACAACAAATATTCGAATAACTGCTCATGTCTGTATGATTAGCTCTGGTTTAACTCAGTTTAACTCAGTTTTTTATAGCTCTTTCATATGACACGAAACGTTGCTTTATTACCTGTAACAAATTTTTAGCAAGACGTGGTTTTCCGGAGAAAAGGCAAAGTAATCGTTTCGTCACTGCATCCACGGTGGCTTGGGATAAATTCAGCGGTTCCACTTCAACCTTCAGAGGCAAAGAGGCTTGGGATCGAGTCATCTTAAATCCTGGTACCAGTCCACCAGCGTTATCCTGCCAGCCACCGCCAGTGGTCAACATTTGTTCAACGATCATCACAGCGTGAATGAGTGAGTCCAAGCTAGCTGTGCGGTCTGTAACCCGTAGCAATGCGGCAAGAATGGCTCCGGCTAAAATGCTACTCGTTCCCAAGCCACTGCCATGAGGAGCGGTCGACCAAGTGTGAAGCTCAAACCCTGCCTGATACTTTCTCTGTAGCTGGGCACTTAATGGTTCGCTAGATGGTAGTGTTACAATGTCCAGGAGGCAAAAACAAGCCTTAAGAAGAGCACCTAAAGAAGAAAGTGCAATTAAAAGGACGTTATACTATAATCAAGAACTCTCCAGTTTTTCGTAAAGAAAAAAGATCCATTTTGGTGAACCCACTCCTAAAATAGATTGGAGTGAGTTTGTGTAGGACAATGTTGATTAAACGGATCTCAGCGAGGGTATTGGGGGTATCGAGGGCAAGTTGGTAAGGAGAAGGGCCTGGGATTAACTTTACCTGGCGCATGCGGCTGAGTGTAATTCTCCAAGTGTGTTAATTCACTGCATACAACTCGAACACTGTGTTGTCCAGAGTGAATCACAAGGACTATTTCAAGCCTAAAAACAATAATAAAATCATTGATATAGAGATTCAGCATCGCATTTACGGCAAACTTCAAAACTGAATTAGTACCACGTGACAAAGTTTCCATTTACTTATCGTTTACTGTTCGTTATGACTACACGAAAATCGGTAGATTCACGCCAATTCTATCCATAACAATTGTTTTAAGTTGTTTTTATCTGTTCATTACTCATTTTGAAAACTCCTCAACTTGAATCTCACCATGTTTGCCGTTTTCCGTAAACGCGATGCTTAATCTCTCTATCAATTATTATCATTATTATTACTATTATTATTATTATTATTATTAATTATTTTTATCATTATCATTTATTATTAATATATGGTAGACCTCTTGACCCTAATTCAACAAGCGAAATGAGGGAAATGGACGCCTGCAAGCAGTATATTTAAAATAGGAGCAGTTCCTTCTTCCTCAATTTCTCTTTGGCCCAACTTCTTTTTCCAGTGCATAGGGAGCTTAAGCAACGCGACGGCTACGGTTATATAAAGGTCATTTAGCAAGTGAAGTCGCGCTGCTTCAAAGTTTATCGCGCTTATTCTATCTCGTTCAATTCATCAAATGTTTGCAACTTTTCCTGGAGTTGAATTCTAAATAGTTCTGAAGTTCAACAAAAGTAAAAGAAAGTCTTGATCGTTGTCTTGTGTTCATGTCCTTCACAAAACGTGAAACAAGACATTTTCACGTCGTAGTTGTGCAGTGACGGCAAAGAGATGTACAAAAAATTAAAGCGTGATGCCCGTGCAGAGCCATTTTTTTTCCTTATCTAAACCTATTGATCTTTTGCCGTTCTCGGTGACGTCGCCGTCGTCGTTGCTTAAGCTCCCTAATAGAGTGTTTTCACATGACGTCACGGCGGCCGTATTGGTGTCCCAAAACAATGAAACGGCGGCCATGTTGATTTCCCAAACCAATCCTCTGGGAGTTCAACTCTTTTCTCATGTAAATGCTTTCTTTTGTTCCAATAAATTTGCATAGATGCTGGCCACGTGAGTCAAAACACTCTATAGGGAGTTTAAGCAACGACGTTTTTGAGCGACGTACGTCAGCCGAAAGTGAACCTTTTTCCTTTTTAATTTGCCTTTATGCTACCTAATTTGTATTGCTTAGCGTCTTTACTCCGATAGAGACGAGCTGCTGGAAAATTTGTTCAAAATCACAGCCTAAGATTGCAAAAAGTCCACTTCCGGTTGTCGTGCGTTGCCCAAAAACGTCCGTACTTAAACTCTCTATTACCTTATTGCGCTAATGCGTACAAAGCGAACGGGCAAATCCCCACGAATCAGTTAAATTAGAGTCGACGTTTTGATAAATAGTACAGATGATAAATAGTACAGTCCCAGATTCTACTTCTGGAAAAGCGTTAAGATTTCCAAAATGAACACTCACTCAGAAATTTTTCTAACTTTAGCGCCTGTTACTTTCTGTAAAGCGGAAAAAAAGAAAGAAAAAAACCATTAGTTAAAAAATCGGCTTTTGCTGATAGACCTCTTTGATAATGGCGGCCTATTGTTATTTTTTTATATGTATTATTAGCCTTTCTGACTCCGTTAACATGTGCAAAACACATAAGAATGCGGCATTTGCACGATGGTATCATTTTACTACTATGAACAGAATCCCGGCTTTTCGTCTTTCTTTCATACCAGTAAATTTGATATTTCTAGCGAGGTTTGAATAACAAAAGCCTTAATTTGCTGAAGAAAGGAAAACTCGAAACTCAAAATAAATGCAGTATGTTTTCCCTTACCTTTCCATTAAGGTTAATGGCAACGGTAAGAACAGCCCCACCGTGCTCATAGGTCACAGGAGGGGTGTCAGTCCAGCAACCAGACAAATCTATTCGAGCTGAAAGGGAACAAACAACCGAGAGATAAGAATGAACTGGCACAAGTAAAACGTTAGTCGTGAAGTAGAGGGGGCCTGTTTACATCGAGTGGAAAGACCCCAGGGAGATGAGGTAACCCGCTTTGGTGGGGTAAACTCCCTGTCCATAAAATCTCTCTCTTTGATAAAGTTTACAGGGTACGTGGGGTGACCATGTGAGAGATTAAAACTTGTGTTGATCGTGATGTAATGTACCGTAAAAGATTTTCAATTAAGCCACAGGTTACCCAAGCAGTGGTTGTAGCATAAGGCACCCAGCCCTCTTCCTAGTGGCAGGGATTAAAACGTCGTCTTTTACCCTGCTAGCAGACATTTTTTCTGACATGATTTTTAGCATTTACGAAGTCATCAGTCGCTTCACTGACATTGGCACATGGGGTTAAACAAGCCAACTACACTAATTTCAGCGACGCGACTGACGATTAAAAAACGCTAAAACCAGGTCGGAAAGAAACGTCTCCAAGTAGGGTGCGTAAATGTGGGATTCTGGCAGCGCTTTTAAGCCTCTCCGATAAAGGTCAATGCAATAATGGCCAACCAGAAATTCCACCGCCTCAGATTTTCTTAACAGGAGAGCACCATGGTTACGAAAATTTGGTTATCTATGTACTCAATAAATTTTGGTTCTGACAAAATTGTCCTTTGGTACCTACGTACGTCCGCCCTCATGTTAGCGGACGTGAAATGTCTTACTTACTAGCCTGAAAGTCTAAGGCATATACAACTTATGTTTTTAAAACTCGATGTTGGACATGTATGATCAATTGACAGCTTTCAAAATAGGGTATCCGCTTCCAGGTGTCACATGTCTGTATCGCGGGCTCAGGTGTGCAACTCATTGAGGTGACGCTTTTCTTTTAAGATCTCTGCTGTCCAGTTATGGTATTCAACTGATCGCAGGCTCCCAAAAGTTTACTTCAGAAATACATTTCTTAAGGGCTCTCACAAGAGCTTTGCTTTTGGCCTTGACTAAATCTATATGTTATACCATGGTTATAGTAGTTCTAACGTTGGTTGCTAATTTAAAACCTTTGAAAGGAAACAATGCTTTCGGGTTTGAGAACTTACCAGGTGCTTCGGCTATTACCCAGTGCCCTTTGGGAACAGGTTCACATTCCTCGCTTTGGAAAAACTGTATGCAAGAATAATTTAAGTGAGGAGGACTAAGAAAATTAACATTTCTTATTCAAAGGGGCTAAATTTGATAAAACCACTCTCAGAACTAGTTATAATATTTATTACGCTTCCACTTAAAACTCTACAAGGTTGGCTTTGCTTGTTTTAATGGAAACAATTTTATTTCTCATTTTTATGTTTCCAAGAAGTAATCGCGCTGCCTCCATCGTGTCTTAATAGGCTGATTTAGCAACAGAACGAGAACGTCAGTTGACGACGGGAAAGCGCGCGGAAAGGACTAAACGCGACTTCCGGTGCCCAATTTGCCGCTCTGCCGTTGGTTCGAGCCAGTTGTTTGATTTGGGCGCGTCGTTGTCATCTGACGTTCCCGTTCTGATGCTAAATCAGCCTTATACTTGAAGCAAGGTGTGGACTTCACCGAGCAAATGTAGTTTTTAAAACTTTCACACTTTTTGGGGAAATATGATTCTTGGTGTTGCAGAAACTGTTGTTAGTTAGCTATTGTTTTGTGGTGTGGGTATCGTTTAGTGTCTTTCAGTCTTTTGTATAAAACTACCTATTTTCATTGCATTTTCTTTTAAAGTGCAACTAACCCCCAAAAATGTTTTTCGCTAAATGACAAATGATAAATGTACACTAAGTCACATAATTACATATATGTGCAGGCTATATTATAGACTGTCAGCCATGTAACAGACCTGTCTTGAAGTAAAAACCGCTTTTCGTCTTAAAATTTGTTCCGCTCCTTCGTAATGGCGAGCTGCTCGGATCAGAAGATCGGGTCTATTCAAAAATAATAATCAATTACATCAATGTAAAGTAAAGTTCTCACATTAAAGTAGAAATACTTACATATTCTAATCGAGATGTTCACTCCAGTCCCCTTTTTTTCACAGTTCGGTTTAGTCAAGTTCATGCGTCTAGTGACTATTCATTTTGCCTGCCTTTTTTATGCTTCAGTTTCATCATAGTTTACTACCTGAGGCTTAAGACAACTTCTTTTCACGTATAACATCTAAGCATAGCTATAATACTAGGCTAGCATCAAAGTCAACTTATTATTTTGACAAGGTTAGGCCTAATTACGGTAAATTTAATATACGCTTCCCTGGTCCTTCTGTTTGGAATAACCTGGATGCAAATTTAAAAAGTACTTCTTTGCATTTATTTAAGAAAAACGATGAAGGAAATTATTTATCCTCGTCATTCTTTTAATGCTGGATAGCAATTTGTTTGATTTATCCTATTTGATGTAAACTTTATAGCTATCAGGTACCGTTCTGTTTTGTTTTGTTCTATTTAATTTTTATTTATTTATTTATTTTTGTTCTCCTAAATTTAATTCGTAGTCTTAATCTTTCGTGTGTCACAACCTTATAAAATGCAACTCAGCTCGTTTAGTTTTTGCTATTGTGGGTAGTTTTTTGCCTGATCTACAACACTTTAATTTATTGTGTTCCTGTAAAATTTTGTAATGAGGATCGATTTAGAGATACATTTTAAAACAAAATTAACGATATAAAAGAAACTTGATGTTTCGATAGCTTCATGTCATAATTATCAAAAGACAAGAAATTAACAGGAATCGTGGTAATATTTATAGAAAAAGGAAGTGCGAAAAGTGCATGTAATTTAAACGTGAAAATGGACAAATTACAATGGCAGGATTCCACTTACGTGTTTAGCGTAACTCTTTTATCTTTTATAATCAGCATCTCGTATATCAAACACTCTAGTTTCCCTCGGCAAGCGGACTCCATCCGTGCAAAAGTTTTAATTTAACTGAAATTTTTGTCCATTTGACGACAGAAATGAAAAGAATACTGCAACTACACAGGTAAGTGTTTAACAAAACAGCGTTCTAAGCTTCTATCAATTTGGGGCAGATCATTCTTTAGGCTGCGTGCAAACGGACGCAACATTGGTGACCAACAACTCCCAACGTTGTTAGATGTTACATGTTGCGTCCGTTTACATACCCTGTTGCTGTTTGCTGCGCAAAGTTTGAAACCGGTCAAACTTTTCAGCCAAAAACTCCCAACGTTTCTTTTGTTCCGTGATCTCCGAATCGTAGCGCAACAATGTTAGATCCGTTTGCACAGCCGGCTTCCAACATTGTTGGGGCCAGGCATGTGCATTACGCATGGTTTACAAAGACTTATGGGTTGTATCCTTCCCACGATACACTGCAGGTCCCAACATTGTTGGGAGTTGTTGCATCCGTTTGCACACCACTGTCAACACGCATGCAACAACTCCCAACATTGTTAGCGCAATAATGTTGGGAGTTGTTGCGTCAGTTTGCACGCAGCCTTAGACATCAAGCACCATGTATTATTATTGTTAAGGGCCCATATACCACAGATAATAAGAACATATAACTCACTCAAAAACGGAGAAACGAAGACCTCGTGTGCTGAATAACCAGCCCTACGCTAAAAACGCTAACTAACGCAACGTTAATGGTCATAATGATGTACCTTTCAAGCCACTTATTTCTCTCTTCTGCAAGTGCATTCACTCCAGCTGGGATGTCTCCTTTCTAAATTAAAGAAATAAAAAAACAAAAAGAAGACACCAGCTTTCAAAGTCGAAAAAAAGTATCGCGTGAGCTATTTACTTGCCAGCCAAAAGAGGAGCCCGCAATCCTAATCTCCAGATTGCTATTACGCATGCACGGCACGTATGTAGCTTCGCTTGGACTTCCACTAGGAATGAATCGAATGCACAGAATACAATCTGATCAAGAGCTTTTGGACCTTCTATCACTCATAATATGATAACGTGTGTTTTGACCATCTATCACGTGATATGCACCCAAAGCATAGCGCAAAAGTATTTTGATCTTCGATCGTTCGATATTGATAAGATTCATTCAATAACAGGTCACATTTTCAATCTATATTATGGAGGGAACCTCGTAATAACGACGGGCAAGGAGACTGGCAAAATTTGTTCGCTATAACGAGGTTTCGTTATATCGAGGGACTTTTCCATATATTTTACTGTTACTGGGGTAAAGAAAATAGTTCGTTATATCGAGGACTTCGTTATATAGTGGTTCGCTATATCGAGGTTCCACTGTACTACTAAGGAAGAAGTTTCCAGTTTTGTTAGTCTGTGTATTTAGATTAGCTGCTTTCGTTTACCTCCAGACACTGAAAGGCATCCATCCAGGATTCATTGCGGGCCGGACCACTTCTCAGCCCAGCTCTCTCTCCTGCCATAGCACCTAATACGTCAGCAATACACGCCAAAGTCCGAGCGGCCACGCCCGGAGAACTTGTACTGCATGCAACTGAGCAAAAGAAACAGTTCATCAGTGAACCTTGAGGATAAAGATCCTGTTTTAAGGCAATGAGACATCAGACTCGAGGACGAGCCGACTACGAGTACAAGATTAGATTTTTCGCGTATATTCTCAAAAGCTAGACACCCCGGAATGCCTAATTGTACCAGCAGTTTTTCATCTGATTTCAAAACACTCATTAAACAATAATTTCCTTTGTATTATCGATATGAATTATTTATGAGTTTGAGAAAGAGAATTCCAAATTTTTCCTGCTAGTGCGGATTGGCCAATAATTTTAGAAACTCTTTTGGGTCTGGTCCAATCTCCTCATGTTTGTTTTCTCGTTCCCCTAAACAATTCCAGAAGACCACGGCCCCTACTCTAGAGCCTACGCAGGTAGTTCCTCCTAAAATCAAATTCCGCGGACTGCCACGGGTCGGCAATGAACGTTTACCTTCATCTAAAACCTTCAATATGTCTTTTGCGAATCCCTCTTGAACACAGCTTCTGAAGAATGGCAAGAGACAATCATTCTTGCAGTCTCTCAGTGTGGTCTCGGCTTGCGCTTTCCCAATTTCAAACCACAACCTTCTTTTCCAATCAAACTCTGCATTCAAATCCAGCAAGGACAGGATGTCCTGCAAGGACAGCCTGATGGACAATCGCCACCTGAAAAAACGGATCATCGACATTAACTCTTTTAAGTCAGCAAGATTGACCAACATCAATTTTCTCAAAACAATATCAATAGATTAAGAAGAAAAAAAGTTGTAGGAATGAACAGAATGATTCACCCAAGTGTGTGTGTTGGGTGGGGTGGGGGGGGGGGGGGGGGGGGTTGAGTGAAGAATGAGGCATGATTTGAGGGTGTTTGTGGGAATGGTTTTGGATCAGGTTGAAATGAGAGTTGGGATTAGGTTGATTGAGATCAGCCTTGTTCTTTAAACAAATTCTCTCTACTAATTCCTTAAGGAAATGCATGAAGATCAGTGTGGAGAATTTGTATTTGTAAATTAGTGCTCAGGGGTTAGGGTCATTCCTCTGAAATAGAACCTGCACCGAGATTTTTCTCAAACTTTATCTATACGTCGTTATGTTATAGAAACTTACATTAATCAGTCACATTAAGCATAAAACCATTTATTTCTTTCAAAAATAAATTTTCTTTATGTTATGTTGTGTTCTTAAATCAACCTTTTTTCATAATCACTCGATAATCATGGTGTTAAGCACGTGCACAGCAAAACATGGTGAAACCAACTTACTCTCATCCCACTTACTTAATTCTTGGCTAATCAGGGCGCACGTACTATCTTAGTTATTAAATTTAATAGGGAGCTTAGGCAACGACGACGGCGACGGCAACGAGAACGGAAAAAAGCAATAAGATTAGAATAGCAAAACAACAACTTTGCATGTCCATCAAGCTTTATTTTTTGGTACATTTCTTTGTGGTCGTTGCAAACTACGACGTGAAAGTTCCTAATTTCACATTTCATGGAGAACGTCAACACAAGACAACGATTTCCTTTGTCTAAATTTAGAAACAAACTTTTAGAACTCAACTCCACAAAAATTCGCGAACACTGAGAAATTGAACGAAATGGAATAAGATCGATAAAGTTTGAAACAACGCGATTGCTTTTTTATTGTAAGTGAGCTTTTTGCTCCCTGTGCCATCGTCGTTGCCTGAGTTCCCTATTTTATAATATACTGTACAGGCCCTTACACGCACACGCCCAAGCACACACAGACGTTCCTTACTTTTGAAGTAGATCCGCAAGTCCTCGCCCAAGAGAATAAACGAAATGTTGACCTTTTGTAGGCGACGAGTTGAAAACATTCTCGTTAACGTCCATGGTTTGAGAAAACAACCGCTTTGAAAAGCCGCTAGCGATCATCGACAACCACAAAATCTCGTCTGTTTTCTCGTTCGGTGATACAGAACAATGGATCGTGGGGAAAAGCTTGGCATTAATAAGACTTCTTTCCTGTTCAGGCTACAACAGAAATATAAAATCACCTCTTTATACCTCACAAAATTAAGTAATCTAATTGGTTTAGAAGCATCGTGGCCGAGCAGTTAGAGCGCTGGAATTCATGGTTCTCACGAATCAGGTTCTCACGCCTATAAATATGTTTGCGTCAATATAACCCCGCGAGAGTTTAACGCACGGATAAGGAGCTAGAGGCATCCTCGCTTTTCCCTCGACCTTTCTATCCACCATTCCAAGCCTCTTCATGCTTTTAAAGGCTAGAAAATTTAGGTGAGGATGGGTGACATGCTTTCTGAAAAGCTCGCCCTACTTCAGATCAAAATATGTAATTCCGCATCCTCGGAGACTCAGGGGCAGATAGTGGGGGCGAGAGAAAGTCTAAACGGGCGGGAAAATATGGCACGAAGAAAAGTAAAGAACGGCGAGAAGAGCCCCTGGGGACAATGTCTTACCAGACCAGTTCCAAATGGTCGCCGCCGTTCTGCCTTCTGATTGAGCAGAAAAACACAAAAGTTTTCTGGCACCAATCAGAAGCCAGAACGACCGCGACAGTTTGGAACTGGTGTGGTAAGACATTGTCCCCAGGGGCTCTTCTCGCCGTTCTTTACTTTTCTTCGTGCCATATTTTCCCGCCCGTTTAGACTTTCTCTCGCCCCCACTATCTGCCCCTGGGTCTCCGAGGATGGTAATTCCCCTACCCTATTTCAAGTCAAAAGGGGTAAAAAATAAAGCATTCCATTAGGCAGATAGCAAATTATAGAATTTGTTAATAGATGACACAAAACAAACTCTTTTTGCCGTTGGTTGTTGTTGCATAACAATATAGCCTAGAAAAGGGGCTGTCCACACTTGGTGCCTCTGAACAAGTGCCTGGGCATCGGCACAAAATGATGTTGTGTTCACCGTACCGTCCTTGGGCACCGTGTCCGGGCACCAAGTGTGAACACTGCCTAAGAGAGAAACCCCCAAGAAGCCTGACGAACAAAGGCTGACTGTGTCTAGGCAAGAAAAACCTGCGACTGGGAAAAGACTGGGTCAGCATCGTGTCCAATTGCATTGTAGGACTGTTTGGCGGAAACATTTGGACCCATAACGCAGTTCGAAACAACACAAACCCAGTCTTCCGCTCAACCTCAAATGTCCAATACGCAGTGAGATGTATACAGATCTTACCACTCCAAACCAGAGTTCATTAGGGCTGATCCCTGTTCCATCAAAAAACGTCTTCCATGGTTTGTTGCAATACGTGCTGTTTTCTGATGAAACTGGCGTCTGCGTGACGAGAAAGATAGTACAGCATTTTCACTGTCTGTTTTCTCGAAATGAAAATCGGACCAAGTTGAGCGTTCATTTTAAAACTACAAGTCGGCAACCCGTGAACCAAATTGGCTGAAATTTGACCAACTTACTGCCAGATAGTTATTCTTAAAAACATTGTGCGAATTTTGATTTCTGTTGTTCGTTTTTGAGTTACAGCATTTTTTCCACAGGTAATTGTAATGATTTGTTATCACTTACTTCATCTACTTATCACAAAAGAACAAACGCACATGTCAAAAATCTGAGTCATCTGAGTAATCTGAGTCAGACGTGTCATGAAGCGAACGCGATCTTAATCGATTTCTTTCGTTTGTTTTTGGCTGACCTGGACTTAAATTTACAGAAACATGTATACTTTTGCAAAACGCTCGTCAATTCTGAAACGCGTTAGCATTTTGGATTGTGTAAAGAAATTAGCCGTAATCTTCAAGCATTAAGCTTTTAGAAAATGTGCGGTTTGTAGGAGTAATTATTAAGGCTACAACCCCTAGCAAGATCCGCACGAAGAGTGTACCAAAGATGGGATGATACCTTAGAGAGGCTGTGTCACGGCAGTCCGGTTCATTTTGTTTAATTTTGCCAATTACTCACCCTCAATCGCGATGGAACTTAAAGTAAGCAAAGAAATTACATGTAAATGACAAAATCAGAGATCCAAGACAAACAAATATGTCTCCTGAGCATTATTTTTGAAGTTGCAAGCAGCAGGGATCAACATTGAAAAACTGTTAGGCTGAACAGTTTTCAAAAACCCTAATTTTAATCCGTTTCAATCTTTTTCAGTTTTGTCCATCCGTGGCATCCATTATTTCTGTTATGTTATTTTAACCTTCCTTTAAAGTTTTAAGCGGTTATTTTTATGTTTCTCTTAATTTAACGGGCATTTTGTAATTTCCTAATTTGGCTTAATTGCGTGACACAGCTCCTTTAAGAGGTTATACTCTTCCACGCAGACGTTCTGGTCAATTCTCCCCAAGGTGGGGGAGGGAGGAGGGGGGGAACGCGTGACGAACCTTTAGGAACGTCTACGAGGGAGGCTAAAGCTGCTACCGATAGTGGTACTGAAAAACAGCCTCACCTGTAGATCATCAAGAGCGCCCAAAACAACCAAAACTCTTTGTGGTCTGTCACCAAGGTCAACATTGAAGTGAATGGCGCACAAATCGTTAGGAAAAGTTACTCCTGACGGAACATCCTACGAAAAATCACAAAGAAGAAAAATCACAAAAAAGAACCACGCACACCGCTCAAAGCATGGAATCAGAATTCGATTGAAGACACTATCTCACCTTCATAGCTTTAGATGAAATACCGATTAAGATGGACCCTGATCCAAAGGACAAATCCCCCTGGAATATTTAAATAATATAGTTGTCACATTTTATCCTTACATTCAGTGTTAAATCGCATTAAACAAATCGTTGCTAATCGAATAATTGACCTCGTGTTTAAAGGGGCTATGCCACGAGTTTATCGCTGGTTTAGGTCAATTCTGTGCTGAAGTCAAAAACGTACTGCCTTTACCCATATGTCACTTGCACATCTCAAATTTCATCAGGAAGCACAAACCATAAAACGTTTTGGGAGATTTTTGTAGCCATAGCATGAAAAATTGAAAAAGTTGGCCTATCATTTTCAAGATTCAATCGATGCGCACAGCCATATCACCCGGGCAGTGGCAGCCGTATGAGGGAGTGCTTAGAAACGGAGGGGCATATATTCGGGGGGGAGGAGGGGGGCTTATGACCGGACTGAAAAAAGTGTTTCAAAACAAGCTACATAGCAGTGCTGATTAAAATATTTTTTGAATTTGATCGACTTTTTTTACGCTTCAAGCAAGAGGGGGGCTTATATTCGGGGCGGGGGGGGGGGGGGGTAAACCGGGTGATTTTTTTTTTTTTTGGGGAGAGGGGCCAAAAAAGGGGGTGTTTTTTGGGGGGGAGGTATAAAATGGGGAGAAAAAGCTGACAATATTTAAAAAATACTGCAAGACAGGAGAAATATTGTGCCTTTTTTAAAAAAAGAAAACAAAAAAAAATTACTCTCTGTTGCACCCCCCCCCCCCTGGCCGGAGTATATGCCCCCCTTGTGCTTGAAGCGAAAAAAAAGTCGATCAAATTCAAAAAATATTTTAATCAGCACTGCTATGTTGCTTGTTTTGAGACACTTTTATCGGACCGGTCATAAGCCCCCCCCCTCCCCCCCGAAGATCTGCCGCTCCGTTTCTAAGCACGCCCTCATGCGGCTGCAACTGCCCGGGTTATATGGCTGTGCGTATCGGTTGAATGTTGTGTGTTGGTGTGGGGTGGGGGGTGTTTGGGTGTTGGCGGGGGTGGGTGGGGGTGTGGGGGGGGGGGGGGGGGGGGGGTATAACCGGATGTATTTTTTTGTTTTCAGGTAGATGGGCCAAAAATGGGGGACTTTTTGTGGGGGTAGGTTTATAATCGGAAGTAATGACGTCAAAATGTTCAAAACTAGTTCAGACCATGGAAAATTGTTGTCGATTTGTAAAATAGCTAAAAAAAAACATAAGGACTACAACGAACGAGTGTTATACCTTCAAATGGCAGTTAGAGATCACTGAATTCTCCCCAATCTTGATGCCATCCTCCACGATCGAATTTATCACAACAGAGGATTTTGGAATAGGAGTACCATTCTGAAACAACAAAATAGCAACTGCTAATAAGAATTTTGAAAGAAAACTCTTTAGCTCGGCAAAGTTGCAAAACGGAAGAAATTCCCGCAAGATTTTGCTAAAGAAACTTTCCCAGAGTTTCTTTCGTTGATCCCGCAACGGGGAGCTTTAGCAACGACGACGGCGACGGAAACGAGGACGTCAAAAAAGCAATATGTTTATTACGCAAAACAACAACTTTGCAAGTGGATCACGCTTTTTTGTACATTTCTTGACCGTCCCTGTAAGAGTACGACGTGAAAATGCCTAATTGCAAGTTTTATGGAGGACATACATACATGCACTTTATTAAGCATCCCCAAAAATGGCTTTTCAGCGTCGTTGCGAATCGTCCCGTGTAACATCACCTTAAGACGAGGGCGATTACGAGAACGAGATTTTCTCAACACTAACTAGTACACGCGCGTGAACCAGCGTCATTTTGGCAGGAAAACGTGGTAGGCGCCGTCATTCTACTGTGCGTTTTAAGCGAAAATATAGACCTTGAGATTCTTAAGAATAAGACGAGTACGACTATACGAGTACGAGATTTTCTCAGTACTAAGCTGTGTTCGCGCGTGAACCAACGCCATTTTGGCGGGAAAAAAAGGTAGCCGTTGTCATTATACTACGAGTTTTAGCGAGAATATCGAAGTGCGGCGGAAACAAGATATCAAATGGTAGAAGTCATTTTGTGATCGGGAGAGCGCGTGACCTCTTTCACAAAAGGTAACAGTGCTAACTTTTGTAGTGAAAAGTGATAAAATGAAGTTTTCCTGGGGGTCTATATTTTGAGAATACTTGAAAAAACGTAAAGTCAAATCTCGTAGTCGCCTCGTCCTCTAATCTAAAGGTCTCTTATGTCTTACTGACGGAAAAAAGTTATCAAATCTAAACGTTAGAAGCTTTATCATTTTTCGATAGGGAGAGGGCTTAACCCCCTTCGCTAAAAATAACCGTGTTAACTTTTCAAGGGAAAAAGGTGAAATGAAGCTTTCAGGGGTGTCTATTTTTTGAGAATATGCGAAAAAAAAACTTTTATCTCAAATCTCATTCCCGTGGTCGTCCTCGTCCTCGAATCTAAAGGTCTTGAAGGCGGATGTTACACACGAAGATATGCAACGAAGATATTTGGCGCAACACAGCATTGCAATGTTGGAACAATGTTGGAACCAATCAAAACAATGTCGCGACAATATTGCAACGCTGTGTTGCGCTAAAAATCGTTTTTGCGAATCGTCCCGTGTGATATAACCTTTAATAACGACTGTTAATAACGACTGCTGTTCTAGAAAAATAAGCTCGAAGGTATTTTTCAAATATCTTTAAAAACATCCGAGATCTCGGAAAAGAAAGTCGGTTGTAACGTACTCACCTTACAGATCGATACGTGCGTATGATTGTTGAAATCGAACTTGACTCCAGTCTGGTTTAGAAATTCAATGCTGTTAAGCATTTGTCTCCTATAACACTCTGCAGATGGCTTCGAGTAATCAAACGTACCGTTCTCAAGAAGCACTGTTGAAAGAAATCTTTACATTTGAGTATAAGCATGGTTAAGTGTAGAACTAGGGATAACTGTGTATGTTATCAAGTTCACTTTTGGAAGCAAGATGGTGAAGAACTACGCAGACCTCGGAGGCTGTTATCCTCCTCAGCCGACAACATTCTCCGAGAGCAGAATTCTTCCCCCTCCGGGGGGGGGGGGGTAATCCCTTATATAAGCCATATATGAATGTGCCGTCCCAAAGGGTATGGTTTTTGGTCTGAAAACGGGTATACACATTACCCATTTTGGTCTGGAATCGGGTATGGTTTTCGAAGGAACTACGGGAGCGTATAAACGTATTTATCGTTTCAACTCCAAATTAATAAGAAAAATAGGAATATGCGAATTCGAAATGCATTTGAAGAAATTCTTGCTTGCACTCTAACATAAGTAATTACAGTATGACATAATTTCTACCTAANGCAGAATTTTTCCCCCCCCGGGGGGGGGGGGGGTAATCCCTTATATAAGCCATATATGAATGTGCCGTCCCAAAGGGTATGGTTTTTGGTCTGAAAACGGGTATACACATTACCCATTTTGGTCTGGAATCGGGTATGGTTTTCGAAGGAACTACGGGAGCGTATAAACGTATTTATCGTTTCAACTCCAAATTAATAAGAAAAATAGGAATATGCGAATTCGAAATGCATTTGAAGAAATTCTTGCTTGCACTCTAACATAAGTAATTACAGTATGACATAATTTCTACCTAAAGGCCAGGTCTGAAAACGGGTGTGGAACATGACATTTTTTGGTCTGAAATAGGGTTAGGATTTGGAAAACCAGCCCACCAAGAATTCCCACGAGTACTCCTCCGGGAATTCTTCACATTATGCGAAAAAACTCCCCTAAACATTGTTAATTAACCTCCTTTCAGCTCCACGCCCCTTAGTCGCTGCCAAAGCATTGCTCGTGCACTGCGCATGAGCATCCTCTTGGGGTGTTCTGAGGACTTCATTGTTACAGGGATGTAGCGACCATATGAACCGCTTCTTTCACCCTCAACAAACGCTGACTCTGTCACATCCTCGGCCAGACAAAGAAGGATATCAAATATCATGGACAACTGCATAGCAAAAAAAAGAGAAACGTCCAACACTTAGCTGGCTTAAGGGGCTGTTTACTCTGTTTTCTCTCCCCGCCGCGTGTCGCCTTTTCTCGCACGGGGTAATTTTCACGCGCACTCGCGTTTTGCTCGCTATACTATCCCTGAGGGAAAATGGGTACTACTCGTAGTCTAGGTTTCCGGGTACCCCGCCTACCCCTCCCCTAAGTCAGCATTAACACGTCTCACTTAAGGCAAAATTGTGACTTAGGGGAGAGGTAGGTGGTCAGTTACCCAGAAACCTCAATTGATCCAGCTTAGCACCAGCAAGATCCTAGAGGGGGGATCATCCTAGCGTCATATGTTTTCTGGACTCAGTTTACATGCACAAAGTTGTACTTGTCCCTAGCGCTGGGATCTTCCAAGCTGAGAGGTTGGAAGATCCTAGTACCATGTAAACTACTCATAGTACTAGGAAGGGACAAACCAGCAAAAATTGCAGCACTTCATTCAGTGAGTAATCGTTGATATTTTGATTCCTTCCCTACTGCTAACCACGCAGACCAAAATTTCTGTGTGTAAACCCAGTGAAAAGTTGCTCCGCCTTTTAGATCTTCCTGGTGCTAGAATGGTCTGTGATTGGAGAACGAAACAGTAGATGATTCAACACAAACAATACCCCTAGCCCTAAAAACAAACGAAGCTACTGCTTATTTAGGCCAATAAAAATAGAGGTCTAAAAGAGCTACTGTACTACTCCCAGCAACGCGTGGCGCTTTTTTCCACTGACCTACGACCGGAGAGATTCAAGGCCGAAGAGCAAGGCTATATGCATGGAGAATATTACAAACTCACTTAATTTGCTTTAAAAAAACATAGGCAGATTCACTAGAGAGAGGAAAAGAAAAATTTGCTATCAACTCGTATGTTTACACACTCCCTTATAAGAAAATTTCAACTCGAGGCTATGCAGAGGTCGGAAAAGGAATAAAGTGTACTGAATGCGCGCGCAAAGTTGTTTTTTTGCTCGGCTTAAACTCTTGCTTTTTTATGACGTTCTCGACATCATCGCTGCATTAGTTGCCCTTTTCTTTTCTCTTTGAAAGATTCGACAAGGCCATCACGAATTTCGAGATCCTTATGAAATGTATAGCTGAACCAACACCATAAAAATTAGATATATATGTCAGTTATACCTGAATAGGTTCAGCTCCATTGTCTAGCCCAAAGTAAGTACAAGCATCTAAGGGATGGAACACATGAAGACTCAAAACCTTGCAGGCAGATTTGATGTCCATGAACACAGTACCGCTAACCTGCCAATCAAAATTAACGTTTTTATGATGAAGTCAGATAAACACACACTCTGCTTGGTTGAAAAAGCCTGCTTTATGAGAGTATAAAACACGGAGCTAGAGCTGTCAGCCATTTACCTGTAGTTTGTTTTGAACATTTGGAAGTAATGCGTGGGGAATTTAACGGATTCTTTATCATAAAACAAATAATGAAGTCTTGACTGTGCTCTGTTCTGTTGTAAAGCACTTAGGAAGCGCCTGGAGCACTCAAGAAGGGAGAAACACTAGACTACGTCTCGTGTTTCCCCCCTACACTTCTTTGGTGCTCTAGCCGCTCCCTGCGTGTTTTACAACAGAACAGAGCACAGTCAAGATATCTTTACTCGCTAACTAGTAAATAACCTGTTACATTAAATGTCAGGTCCCGAGGAAAACAGTTTGTTTTTACTGCACCTTCTTTAGCCTACGAGAACAGCCGTTTCTCCACGCTCCTCGCCCCTGGGCACGTTTCGCGTAGAGGAACGTCTGCGACTCAGCGACAGAAATTCCATACTGATGACGTAAATCAATGTTTACATAATAAATCGGTAGTCGTGGGGTTCCAAATGCAAATTTGTTCAATTTTACGTTTCTCCTGGTCGATTTTCGGAAAGTGTTGTGTTCATCTGCGAACGAGTTCTAGAAAAACTCAAATGCTTCTTCTAGAGAAGAATATATTCCACAAATATTGACTGTTTTGTTATAGATTCATCCCGTTTACATTTGAATGACCTTTGTAGCCTTTTGTCTGTTATTCGTAAACAATAGCTAAAACAACGTAACTACTCTGTCGTCCAATCAGCGGTTATGACCGGATTCCGGACAGACTTTACGTCATCAGTATGGAAGTTTTGTCGCTGAGTCGCAGACGTTCCTAATCGCGAAACGTCCCCCATCTGCGATGAGCGAAAAGAAACGTCTGTTTTCGCAGACTACAACGGGGCCTAAATTAGAGAATTGCTGATTTACAGCTGAAATCACGGCGGCCATGTTGGTTGACAAGAACAAAAGCCGCTTAGTCTGCTTCAAAGCCGTCACGCAAAGCTCCTCCTCACGTGCATTACGACGCAAAAAACGCCTGTGTAGCAGACTACCCTCCGCTTAGAACTAAACTCTTTTTTCAAGCAAATTCTGCGAAAAAAATTGTATTATTTCGCCGACCGACTGTGACACGGCCGCCTTGTCACATGGCTGCGAATCAACAATCCTGATGGGAATTTGATGACGGAAGACCGCGCATTTCAACGAATCTCTACAACCTTCATACTCATTACCAGTTAGACAGGATTTCCAACTTACCAGCGGCACCTTGCCATTCTCAAGGGCGAAACTTCTGATTTTCTCCTCACTTTCTCGGAAGATAATGTCCTTTACTTTGCCCTTAAAGTGAGTGTCAGTAAAAACACAGGATGAGTGACCGGAGCTAAACACACCCGCCCGTTTGATGAGAAACCCTTCCCACGACACCCTGCGAGCAGAGTCCCTTTCTGTCTTCTTCTTGAGTAGGGACCAGAAAAGCCGATCTTGTTTTATCTCGTCAAACTGGCTTTTTCGAGTGCGCATGTTTATTGAACAAACCGATGGTCATAACCGAGCCCGCTGTACCAAGCGCACGGCTATTAGGCCTGGGTTCGAAACTATATCCTAGCAACATGAAACGCATGCTCAACAAAGATCATACTCGATTCCAGCAGTCTTTCTCGAGAACGACAAATTCGAGCAAGCGAAAGAAAGACTGTGCTGGCAGGGTATTTCCACAACAGAGGGAAGAGTAGTCTGTTCTGTGATCACAGGTACCGACTCGAGACTGAGCTCAGTGGCGGATCCAGGAAAGGGGCCCGGGGGACCCCGCCCTTCCCTTATTCCTAGTCCAGACTGAGGCCCAAATGGCCGAAAAAGCTTTGGTTTGGAGACCGCCCCCCCTCCTCCCCCTTATCTCAGGTCTGGATCCGGTACTGAAGCTGACAAAAACGGTGATTTGTTTCCAATACCACCCAAGTCACCATCTTGTTTCACTGCATGTGCTTTCTGGTGCGGGATGCTGGAAAGGCTTATTCGTGCATCCACCTGACTGATTAATTATTTTTCAGTTTCTATGTTTACAGTTTCCGTGTAACACTATGCAGTCATGTCGTGACCGTAAGAAAAGTAGCCTGCGCAGTTGGCGGTATTTTGTAGTAGTCGAGTGAGATTTGGCGGCGGAGCCGTTGTAATATATTCGAGTGAGATTTGACGGCGGAGCCGTCACGAGCGGCGAAGCCGCGAGAAATACCGCCTCGTCAACCGCCTCGTCCCTACTCCCTTTTTTGGAACACGGCTCCGCCGCCAAAACTTTAATCTCGCACCCACACAATACCGCCGGCTACGCAGGCTATAAGAAAAGCGATAATTCTGAAGGCCAGATTCAAAGTACTGTGTCATTCAGTTCGCAAACAAGGAGAGTCTACTACGCTCTAGTCGTCGCTTGTCATTTTATCAATTTGTTTTTTTTTTCTATGTAAGATAAATTTTGCAAAAAATGGGCAATTGTGTTCATCGGCGTGCTATATACACTGTAACATGAGGGTAAAGTGTGACCTGTTGCGTCAATAATATTAATTTTCTTGATGCAAAAAGTCACGCTTCATTTTATCTTCGACGCTAGCTATGACATGATGGTGAATTGTAACTTAATTCGTCAGATAAATAAGCGTCACCTTGTGCGGTCGAAAATTTTTTCTTCCATGCAAGAAATCACACATTATTTTCTTCGACAAAACAGGTTTCGTCTCATGCTTATATGACATAGCTAGCTGACCAAATCGCAAATGCACAACAGACATAACAAAACTGTAAACTTGTGCTCTCTTGAGAGAGCTATTTTTAAGTTTACGTTAGTTATGCTTATAACCCTCACATCTTTTCCAAGTTTGGCTACACCATGATCTTTTGCATAGTGAACGTCCCCAGGTGAGAGAATCACGGTGATACCATTAGAAAACTTCTCCCAGTCAATTCCTTGAAAAAATAAAGAGGAAATAACAACACTTTTTTGTCACAGTTTGTGCTTACTAGTGTAAAAACTAAGCAAATCCAAAAAGAATGCGTGGTATGTATATCTAAAACTTTTGCTAAAACTGAGCTCTCGTAAATGACAGCCCTGATAGATAAGTTTATCGCTTGGTCGGTTACGAGAGACCATTCTCGTAATCATCCAGCTCTAGTTGTGACCGCTATAATATGGCAGTGGTCGCTTAAGAGAGCTTTGACCATATCATACAGGAGCGTACGGTCCATACACACACTTATGCGTACATACGCAGACGGAAAATATGACAAAAATAATCTCTTTTTGCTTCCTGGAAGCATTTTTATCACTAAATCGGGGATGACTGATCAATTTTTTGCATTATATTGGTGTCTTTGCCCGTCTAACTGAAGGGTAGACATCTCGCCCTTAACCTTCTTGATGGCGTTTGACTTTCCCCCCAGTTGTCCGTAAACACTGTCAGCTAATCAAATTAAGAATCTGAGACGGTTGGCCGGGAAGACTAAGTTGTGATTAATCTCTCTATTTGTAAGACTTACGGGCGTCTGGAGAAATCGACGGCAACATGTGAGAACTGCAGATCCAAACACCAGGAGGAGAATTCACTGATAACTATATTGAAGAACACAGTTATACTGATTACAGTCACGAAATATAACAATACCCAAAATATCGCTGATTTTACAATGACAGCCTACAATACAGTGGAACTCCATCATAAGGCTACCCCATTAATAAGATAACGTCAAGTCATTTCTTTTATATTGTTTAGAACAAAAAATTCGTGTTTATCAACCGAGTCGATTAAGCCCTTTAAGCCCCAAGATCCATACAAATTCTCGGGACTGATCTCCATACACTTCTTTTAAGAACAGTTGAGAGAATTTGGTTTAACATCAAAGCATTCTCCCTTTGGTAATCAATTTAGTAATTCTCATAACCTTCACTCTTGATGATCTGCTGATGTTGTTAGGAGAAAATTGATGTTGGTCACTCTTGGGACCTAAAGGGGTAAGTATTATTGTCCACCGCAAGAACGTTTCAAGGATGATGTTGCGAGCGCTACCCCAAAGTTTGAAAAAAATTAATCACCTTTTGAAGTTCCAGGTTTTACTGTAATCAATTTTGTTATATATGCAGTCGTGTGTAGGAGTAAGTTGAATGCCTAGTGATCTCACGTTCTCACAAAGAGTGACGCTTCTAACTGAAAGTGCCCAAAGTAATCAAGTGGCACGTGTTTTGACAGTAATACAGGCGTATTCTTTTTTTCCTTTCCCCTCCTTTTTTTTTGGATGGGCGGGGGGCGGGGGGGGGGTCCAGGCAAAAGGTGCTAGTTTATGTTTGCATTTCCAGAGCAACCATGTTTGATTTAAGGACAGAAGAAGATTTAGGGTTGAAATAGCAACCTTAGTGACATTCAGGAATCCAAAACTGAACGCAGGCTAGTGTCATGTCCATCTTGTCATCAAATTAGATACTTTTATTTTAGAAAGGTTTAGCATTGGCAGTTTTTATACTAGAGACGTTTAAGTCGACTGAGACGTTAAAGTCGTTCTAAAGTCCAGAATAACGACGGTACTATAAGACAGGCGCATTTATCATCCGAAAACTTATACGTCTTCTTTTAAATGCATCGTTCAGACGAATTGCGGTCATTTCGCCCGAAAGTCGATTCGCCCGCGGAGGCGTTCGCTAGGACTGATATCTTCACCCGATAACATACAACACTCTACAACATGGTGAACCAACTTCTCCGAGATGTTATTTTAGTTCAGTTAACCTTGGATTCCACATGTGCAGTGATTGTCTTTCCAAGCTCATTTCTTTTTGTCAGGCTTAAGGAACGACAAATACAGATCGGGCGAGTTACGACCCTATACCGTTCAGAGGCGATTAACAGGTGACTTAAACGTCTCAGAGGTTAAATGCGCTTTTAGGAAAAATTTCAGCAACATAACAATAAATAATAAAACAAAAGATGTAAAATAAGCCTACCGTTGCTGAGATAACTGTAAGCACATAGTCAAAGTTTGACACTACAGAATCACACAGAGACTCTTTACATTTTTCGTTGTGCTTCGCCGGGAGAGTGTTGAAGAACCATCCACAAGAGCTTAATGGAAAATCCCAACCCTAAAACATACACAGTAGGAAAGAAATCTCACATTACAATTAAGAAAAAAGATTTCAATTGAGAAAAAATAAATAATCAAAGAATGTTTTTACAACTTATAGAGCGGTAAAGTGATGACATTATAAAAATGAAATTTGTGAAATTATGGGATTTGTCAGGATATTCTGAAAGAACAATGTCCAAGAGGCCTACTTACCAAAAATGAGCATTTCGGGGCAAATTGTCTCTGAGGTGTTAGCCGGTTATACTTAGAAAACTCCATACAAACCCTTCTAATTTTTTTTTGGGTCGACCCAAAAAAATTTAGTAGGGTTTGTATGGAGTTTTCTAAGCATAACTGGGCTACAATCTCAGAGACAATTTGCCCCGAAATGCTCATTTTTGGCAAGTAGGACTCTTGGACATTGTTCTTTCAGAATATCCTGACAAATCCCATAATTTCAGAAATTTCATTTTTATGATGTCACACTTTAGACTACTCTATTACTTCATTACATACAAAAAATGTTACGAACGAATATCAAAAGGACAAGGGACAAACAAGTTTCTATGAAAATTTCAGTCGGATATAACCAGAACGAATTTACGCTCACATATATACATATATACACCGTTTACAGGTAGCCATTACGACACCTGAAGGAGGGTCATGAGGTTATCTCTATATAACATTAATTAAAATACGTCTCCTTACAATAATAACCCATACCCAGCCCAAGAAAGGTTGGCCACACCGCCAGGGTCTACATCCCCTAATCTGTCCGAACAGCAGTGTAGGTTCTTTTACATCCCACAAGAACTATATATCAAGTGAAATTGCTGTGAGAAGACTAGGAAATTTAGTTTGGAGATTTCATTCAAAGGTAGCACTCAATTCTCTCAGTTATTCTAAGATGAGTGATGGTCCAGCCAGGGTTTGAACCCGTGGTTTCCCACTCAGCAGACCGGCGCTCTCCCAAATGAGCTAACCATGTGGCGTACCTCTCAGGAAGATGTAACTGACGAGATTATCATGTACCATAGAGACTGAATGTTAATTTGAAAATAATTGTAAAATTAAAGCTGTTTTTTAGGGTACAACTGATTAGTGTTGTACCCTGAAGAAGGCAGCATTGCTTTCAATTGTTTTCAAATTAACATTAAGCAACTACGCCGCGCAGGAATTTCAATCTTTATTACCAAAGAGACTTGCTATCTTGTCAATGATCAGATCAAAAACAGAGAAAAAGCTACATAATGTGATAATGATGATGAGAGTAATAAAAGATTAGTACATGCCATATGCATGATGAGTATCCTTGCATTCTTCAAAACACTTTGTGTAACGACCTATTGTAAGAATGAAAAGAAGTTGTCAGTTATAGCAGGCTTAACACTAAGTACAAAAGTTGCATTTGAATTTTTTCTTCAATAAATGTCTGCAGTCAGCAAGGTAGTAGTTCAAGTTCTATATTGTGTGGCTTGCTAACACAAAGCAAATTTCCTTCAAGAATTAAGTGAGAAAACTGAATTTGTTTAAAGATCACAGCATTTCCTTAGGTGATCATTTTACATTAATGAGATGATAACCCGGGAAAATGCATTGAACTTTGATCTTTGATCTAGCTAATTAGTTAAGGATAATTTTTTTGTGTGTGTGGAGTTCAGTATGGAGAATTTGTAAATCAGGACATTGGGGCTAGGTAATAAACGGTTATCTATGACTGACTATAATACGGCTAACACCTCTTTGAGACAGACAGTTACATATACAGTTGGTTGCATCTAAGTGTGGACACGAGACAAAAAAAAATGTTCTAATAGAAAAGGTCTTAAGTAAAAATAGTCATTTATACACTCATAATTATTACCAACCCCAAAGCCTGCTTTAGCACTCAGACGTTCTGTGACCACAAGTAAGGCATTAAGTGTGGCACCACCACTTCCAACGCCACCTTTGGGATCCTCCAAGGTCAAAATCAGCACATCTTTTTCAATAAATCCTTTGTTTTGAAGTATTTCAAGTTCTAATGGAGAAAGAAACTGTTATCTAGAAGGATAGGAAATTGCATAATCTGCACCAAAAAACAAACTCACTTGCCAGTTTAAGGCTAATTAGCTAGCTTTTGAACACCATGTAGCCTCTGAAATTTTCAAATTTTGTTATCAACAAAATGACACTAAGTGTTCTATGCCTAATATACCCCGAGGAAATGGCACAGTTTGCCACATAATAGACTTTTTTGCTGCAAAATTTGACCCGAAAATTCTTAGCTAAAAAATTTAATTCGATCACTCTATTAAATGGCCTCTTGCAAAAAAGGTACTGGGACATTAATATGGCCGGAGTTGAAGGAATTAGGAATTCACTGTTTGATGTATGTTGCAGCTATTTTTTTTATTTCAGGTAATTTTTGTTTTTCCTTTGTTTGAAATTCATTAGCGTACATAATATCTTACCCAAAAACGTGAAAAAATAATAGTTTCCTGAGATAGAAAATTATCTACAATATATACATTAAAAGCATTTATTTATTCATTCAAAATATTTCCCCGATGCTGATTGCCTAAAAGCACACGTTTAATTCACCATAACCAGTTACTGATGACCAAATTTTGAAGAATTTTGACTTTAACGAGGAAATGACGTCAAAAATGCAGCGTTTTCGCAGGTTAAGGCACCGTTAACCGAGAAGACCTGGGGACGAGGTTGAGTTGTTTTGGTTGTGAACTTGAAAAAATGGCGGACATTTCACTCGTTTCAAGAGTAAGAACTAAGCGAAAAAAGAGCTAAAAACATGGCAAGAACAGCAAGAGGACAACTCGAAGGGCAACATCTGCTATTTGGAGAATATTTGCGGAGCTGGATTAAGCTAAACGTACACTATCGAAGATGAACTGAACATTGATGGATCGTTATCGATGGAGGTAAGCATGTTTTAGCTATGTTTTTAAACTAGGAATTATTTTGAATGAATAATAAAACAGTTATTGAATTTGGCTTTCGTATCATATGAAGAATTATGGAGATCTCGGAGGAAGTTATCCGCCTTGGCCTACGGCCTCGACGGATAACAGTCCCTCCTCGATCTCCATAATACTTCATAAGATACTCAGCCTCATTCATTAACTGTCAATATGCATTTAAAACAATGCACTTCTTAAGCGATATATTAACTCAATATGCTCTTGACTCGATTGTCAACTGCAAAACAAGATTAGTCAAGCGTGCCAGACAACCATTGTTGTTGATGTAGGTAGTTGGTTCATTAATTTTCACTTCAGGTAATTACAAGATAACACACCGAGACTTTAAGATGGATGGTGGATTACAAGCACTTGAGACGAACCAAGATATCACTCTGATCACTAGCCTTCAAAACCTTTTCATAATGATACACAGTTTGAAAAGAGGTGTCGCTGGACGCAACCGCGTTCAAAATATACCATAATCATAGTTGTCTATCGCAAGAACCATCCACCCTTCCCCATCAACTCCTTCCTGCCTAACAAACATATCGAACGCACTCTCGTAAGGTCCGATTACTCCTAGTTTATTTACAAAGAAGGCGTCGAAACACGGTTTGGCAGTTTTTGCCGTTAAAGCTTTGTCTATAAACCTGATTTATCAATGAAACTGGTGGATAAGTTTTTTGTTTACAACTTCATGCAAATTAAGTCTTGCGATACTTCATTCAGCTGACACGTTTCATAAATAAGCTTAAAACTAAATCAAATACGGTATGACAGAAGAATTCACAACTCCCTAGGACGAAATGTCCCCGCAAAAGCTAAACAAATCCTTCAAATGTTGTATTTGTTGGCAAGAAAACATGACGGCCGTTAATCCTTGGTAGCAATAAATGAGTTTAAAATCATCATTATTCACCGAAACGGAGGTGGCTAGGCGAGGTAAATATTAACCTTTAGCCGCCGACACTGAAAGTACCGCAATTTTTCGAGGGCCATCTATTTCCCTCTCGCGGGATCTGTTACGCGACAATCACGCCTTAATTTTTGCCATTATTGTCGACTATCAATCGAAGCCGTAAAGCTCAACTTTCGCCTTCCATTCAAATGAAACCGGCCAGACAAACGTCTTCTATCTCCAGTTCAAATCCCTTCCAAAACGATTCATAAGCGTTTGGCTTCCCTGAGGCAGTTCGCATTTCATAAGCCTTTCGTATCTTTTTCGCGTCTACCAGCGGCTTATTTTCTCTAGAATAAACGACGTTCGACAAACAGAAAAGTTGAATAATTAATATCGTCTTACCTCGTTGAAAAGCAAACGCACTTTGTCTTTTGCGACAAGTTAGTACAATCGCACCCCAAGAACATTTCATTTCTTTGCTGCCTTCCATGTTTACGGTTCTTCCAGTCACAGATATGGTAAAGTTTTATTTCCTTTACACCGAAAACTGAATGAATGGTTTTCATTCATCACAGGCGGCCCAGACGTAGTATGTGTCACTGAATGAATATATTAATATTCACATGGACAAATTAATGCGATAAGTCGTCGAAACTCCCATGAACTAAAACAGCCCAAAAGTCAAAATATAACAAAACAAAGCTAAGATACCTTCAACTGAACGTATCCTTGTCTTTCCTGGCCGGTTTCAGTGGCATTTTGTTGAGTTTTGCAATTGTAGGTACTATAGATAGTAGGCATATTGTAGCATCATTATAAATCTACCAGTATTTTATTTTTTGATCCGAGTGGGTTTTGTATTGGGACAGGCAGAAAACGAGGGGAAGAGTGGGCTTAATGGGGACATGGTGCATATTATTTAATTTATTGCAGGCACAAAGTACGAATACATTAAGATAGCATTCATACATCTGCAACCAATAATATTTTCTTAATAGGGTCTTACATTCGCATTAAAATTCATGGTGTCCATGCATCCTTAATCGGGTAAAAACCTATCATAGTAAAGCAATCATAATTTTACTCTGTAGATTGAAATATTTTTTATTTCATACAAATGGTTTTAATTTACTCAAAAAACGAACAATGCTTATCTTCATCTCCTTCAAGTACAAGTAGATCCGAGATCCACCCTAATCCCTGAAACGGCCTGATAAATGCGTCCAGCAGTCAGAAACGGTTGTTCCGCTCTCACCAAAAAACGAAAACAAAGTTAAAAGTAATGTTTCTCCCTGGCTAGCAACTTTCACGGCAATAATTGCAAATCATCGGGCTCCAGTCTTAAGATTTGCATTATTGCAACACATGAAAGGCCTTGGAGTTGACTAATGTTTGCAACAATAACAGAGTTGTATGAACTTCAATAGGGACCTTAAGATTTGAGGACGTCATCTGTCTAGGACGCCACCGGAAGTTTGTTTTCGCCT